AGTTTCGCCATGTTTCGGACGTTTCGCCAGATTTCGGAAATTACGCCAGGTTTCGAAAGTTTCGGAATAGCCGAAACCGAAACCTAAAATAGGCGAAATGTTTCGCCAATCACAAAGAAGTTTCGCCCGAAACATTAACTTATACAATGAATAAAATTCCTTGCTTTGTATTGTAAGCAATTCATATCATAGCATGATTTCGACTCACGTTTGGGTAAAAAATATTTACGTTTCTTCTTATTGCGATAAAACATGAACTATCAAAATGGGATTTGAACATCAAATTGTGATAATTTGACATCAGTTCCAACGGATACCAACCATCCATATATTAGAAAGTAAATTGTGTTTATCAACCTGTTGCAACATTTAGCATCGTGTGAAAATAAAATTACGTAGCAATCGCTAAGTTTATAAACGAATAATAGGATTTAATAAGAGAAAAATGGACATTAAAAATTAAATTTTTGAGAGTAAAAAATTTACCATTCTTCATTCCTATTGTAGAAATTTGTCTTCATTACTCTAAATCGTTTTCAATTGCATTTTATTCAAGAAATTATAATTTATCTACAAGAAAAGAAAAAGCCGATTATATATATAAATATATATATTTGAAAAAGAAACATAAAAAATGAAAATTCATTATTGAACCTTGAAATTTCAATATCAGGGGGGGGGGGGGAAAGGGTAAACTCATAAGCTCATCCCTTAATACCTTTAACAAACGACAAATCATCGCTGTCTTAAAAGCATGATATGAAACGTTAGGTTCTTGAGATTGATCTGGAATTAACGATAAAAAGAAATAGGTTATAAATAATTGATCCTTAATCTGGTAGAAAATTAATTTCATTTAGGATAGATATCTTCTCGTGATTTTGATGAAAATGATGAAGTGTCATTATATTTTTGAATGCTTATGCATTCAGCTTGTAAGATCATCATATACGTAGATTTTGTAATAACACCACTAACGTTGAAGCTTCTTCCTCATTAATTATTGAAGACATAGTCGAAGGAGAACTTAATTTTGAAACATTCCTCTGAGGTAAATACAAAAAAAAAAAAATTTTTTTAGCAATAAAATTTAACCTTATCCTTACCAGTACAATTTTTTTTATAATTCCATAATTTTAATATATAGTTATATACTTCATACCTTTCCCGCTGATTTCTTTTTGAGTTTTAAAAACAAGAGAGTCGGTAATTTTTCAATTGATCTCGGATTATCAAAACATGTTCCGAAAACAGTACCAGTATCAACCCACGTGCTTTTTTGACCGGCGTTACTGAACTTGACCGAAATTCACCGTGTAACAAATAATAACACTTTTATGGGGGTCCACTACCATTAAAAATTTCTGTTCTACCCATCATTTATTATCGTCGGATGGAAAACATTGCATTGATAAGAAATCTTTAGACATTTGATTTCTTGATTACAATCTTGAATTTTTACGCTGCATTTACTTTAATCGGTAATGAAGAAGTTTATATTCACAGCAAGAATAAAACGCCATGAGGACTTGACAAAAATCATCTCACTTTGAATGTATAAATAAATTATACAATACTTTTTGAGGTTAACTTCGACATGTATAATTTCCCACAAAAACAAACGGTGGCAGCTAACGCCCACTGATTACTAAGAAAAAGAATTCCTGATGTACTGATAAACGTTCTTAAATTTTTTTTAATTTTTTTTTTAACTTTGTGTATATGAATAATTTTAGCTAGCCCAAATTTATGTAATCACATCTGAATAGTGTCCTTGTGATCCACTCTCATGATCATAAACAATAGTATTTTTTTTTTTTTAGTTTTTTAAAAGTTATATATTCATATTTATTTTTTCTTTTCTAAAAAAAAAAAAAAAAAAAAAAAAAATTGCTGAAATCCGCTCTTTAACAAAAATGTGCGGTGATATATTTTTTTTTTAAAAATTTGCAACATTTCTTCTCGAAATTGTATATTAATCATTTTACTTCTATTATTTAGAACAATGAATGATAACGTTCGGTTTGAATGTTTGATAAAGAAAATCCCAAATTATCAAGAACAAAAATTACAGCAATGTTTTTTCACAGGTTTATTCACTACATACCTTACCGAAATTCCTATGGAAGGTTTTTTTAAATCTTCCATCACCTAAATTGTGTATTTTTTTTTTTTTTTTTTTTTTTTTTTTTCTTTCGTAATCAAATTTTTATTTTGCTTTCTTTCTTTACTTTCGTAATCAAATTTTTATTTTGCTTTCTTTCTTTACTTTCGTAATCAAATTTTTATTTTGCTTTCTTTCTCGTAACGTCGTTATTCGCGAAAAATAATTTTTTTTTCTAATTCTTTCGATGCGTAATCATCTTTCTTCCCCCTAATTTTTATAAATGCATTATGAACGATCCTTTGGTTTTTTTTTTTTCCTTATGAGATTTCTTTCTTTTGGAATATCACAATTTGAAATTCCTCAAATTTATTCGCACAACGTATACTTTTAACGGACACCTTTAACGCCACCTTTAACGCCACCTTTAACGCACACCTTTAACGCACACCTTTTTATTCGCACCGCACCATTTTATTTTCGTTACATATTTTCGGTAATACATATAATAAAAAAAAAAAACGTTTTTACAAAAAGTTCTTCTATGCTTGTCATATTTTTTATGAATATTTTGTATGAACTGTAAATGTCGTAATAAAATAAATTGTGTGTGAAAGGTTTTCATAATACCAATTGGATTCAATTTACCCCGCTGAAAAAAAAAAAAAAAAAAAAGATTTTGCAAAATAATAAAATAAATTTGAACTGACAAAACGAGATTAATTTATGAATCAAAGAAATAACTTTTCCAAATCACATAATGATACATAGGATCATTAGTAGTATTATAGTATTTTATTTAACATTATAACTACACAAAAAATATTATAACAGGTCATTATAATTAAAAAAAAATTGAGACATACTGACGTACAGTACATATAATAAAGCAAAAAAAAAAAATATTTCATCATTTTTGTAGCTCATTACTAGCAAATCGATTCTTATACTTAACCAAAATAACATTTTTTTTTTTTTTTTTTCAGCCCAATCATTATTCTCAATTCTAACATAGAATCGTCGGCGGTAAATAATTAATTATCGGAATTAGATCCCGCGTTGTTCTTTTTGTTCCTTGGAATTGAGGCCACAGGAATGGGGACGGGGACGGTACGGATTACAGGAATTAAAATAGTTGTATGTGTTGCTATTGGGATTGGGTTCACTGCCGGTAGTCGAAGATAGTATGGTTGGCTGGTTCGACTGACACGCTGGAAAGGAGGATACTGAGGAGTTTGGAGAGGAATACGAGGAATTGGGTCTTTGGTAAAAATATCAAGCGTTCTTATAGATGGGAGCGATTGATTAACATTGGAAATTTGTTCGAGGATCGGTGGTAGGGTTAATGGAATTTCCAAATTTTTATTAGGAAATCGATCTCTCGCAGGGAGCGGTGGTAATTGACGCGTGTTTGTTTTCTTTTTGTTAATCTAATAAAAAAAAAAATAAATAAATAAATAAATAAACATAAAATAAAAATGATAGATGTCAACATACGGGATCATCGAAGCTTTGAATTTTCATGGTTGATTTTTATTTTTATTTGTGAATGCAAGATCTTTTAGATTGAATGAAGTTGAACAAGAGAGAAGGTGCTTTTTCATGCTTCTTTTATAACTAAATTTTTTGTCGACACGTGAAGCAAAATTCCCATTAATTAATTTTGTGTGATAAACAACGTTGAGTTTTAAATGCTAAAAATACCGTAAAGCGTTCTTTAAAATATCCTCCCCCGTAAACTAACTTATGTGTTACGTTCGGATTTTAACGGTGCATGAATTTAACAATTACCGTTTGTTATCGAAAAGAAAAGACAAATAAATTTCCATAGGAAAGTTGATTTTTTTTTTTAATTAAATAAAGTGTTCATAAAAAAATTGTTTCTTATTAGTGGTATTGTTTTAAAATTGCACCATTAAAATCAGAAATTAGTTTACGGGGGAGGATATTTTAAAGAACGCTTTACGGATAATCACTTGAAAGGGGGGGAGGAATCGGAAAATTAAAATCAATTCATATGAATCTATTTACCGTTTCCAAATTACTTATATCCTTTAATTGTTGATTGGTTATCTATTAAGAAAGTATTAAAGAGATATTATAATTTACATGACAACTGAAACGAGGGGAATCATCATTTACTAGATCAGGTAAAATTGTATTGTTTATATTACTCTGTCATACATTTAACGGGATATACAATATACATACAATACACAAAAGTTTTAAAGATTTATAATATCCAATGTATTGGATCGATCGCAAAAATCCACAAAAGAACGGAGTTTAATTGAAAATAATAAAAAGTGAAAACTGATTTATACAATAACAATGACAGATATGACGTATTATTTTTATTATTATTATTTTTCAAAAAAACTCGCTTGCATTTTACCGCAATAATCATGTGTGGTTTCTTTTGTAAACAATTTCGAAACAATTTTTTTTATTATGACAAGTGCCCCAATTCCTACTGTATTAATCAAAAAAAAAATCACAAATAGAAAAAAGTAAGTTCATGTGTTCAGTTTTTTTTAAGGAGGGAAATATTTTTGCGTTGCCAATGATGGATGGCAAAGACTTATTTTCACATGATTTCATTGAAAGATATCAAATGTAAACGAATTACCATCTTATTGTTTAGTCATCTATCGCAGCTAGTAGATCAAGGAGTTTATTGATATCAGAATGTGACCAGAGTTCATTAGCATAACTTGAATCCTCAAGTTGGCCCTCATCAATCGTTTCTTCAATTATTTCTTCATCAGTAAATCCATCATCTTCATCATTCGGTTTTTCACTTGAGGTTTAGTTGATCGTACAATTGATGAATCAATTTCCTTATGAAAGTTTATTTGTCTTTTCTTTTCGATCACAAACGGTAATTGTTAAATTCATGCACCGTTAAAATCCGAACGTTTTACCATAATCAAAAGGCATCAATAATGGATACTCTTTCGATTTCGAAAAAAATAATAATTGTATTAATTACCGGAAAATTTTTCGAATTTTAATTTTACTGGCCATATCAGCCACTTTTTTATTTGTATTTTATATTTAAATTAGTACTGGAAAATTAAGTTAAATAGAATAATACATTACAATACGAGAAACAAACTTTATTAAAAGGTTATTTTTGAAAGAAACCCTTTGTTTTTTTTGCTTATTATAAAAATAATTTGTTATTTAACAATACATGATATGCGCAGAAGATCAGTTGATTTCATGTAACAATTCATATAATAGTATTATTTTTTTGATATAATTAATTATGAATTGTTAAAATACAATTCAATACAAATCTAAATACAATACGAATTTTGATATATAACGAGATGAAAGTTGGCTTCAACTTCATCAATAACCTCCCTCAATAACTTCATTTATCAAATATGAAAGCAAAAAATTAACAATCCAAAAAAAAAAAAAAGACCCAAATCCATTGTAATTTTACTTCAACAAACACATTCGTTTTATTGGATGTTGTAAACCGACAACATTTTCACATCCTACTTGTACAATTAATTTTTCATCGAATAATTCAGATGATGAAACAACCTTTCTCTATCCCAATAAATCTTCCTACGGCGTATAATCTAGTGTAATTATGTAGATCCTATTCGAAAACACTAACTTTGCATCAGTCGTTTGAGCCAATTATTTAAATCTGGCAATGTCTTTTTCGACCGTTGCAAGGTTTTGTGGACGATTGGACCAGTAATAATATATTCAAATAGTATAGAGGGGAATTTGAGACCCGGAGCATAACAATGTAAGATTTGGTCACCAACTTTATGTCCTGCCTCATTCCTTGATAGTGAGGGGCTATTGATCTTCGCCTCTTCTCGAATGTTAACATATATCCGGTGAAGGCGATTTTATTAGAGAAACCACCATACCCCAATTTAGGTTTGATCTCAATTTGAGGTCGAATCGGTAAATGAGTCAATTGTTGGAAAGATTGAAGAAATCGCTTGACCAAGGCACGAGAGTAGGAGAGACGGTTTTCGGTTAGCTCAAAGTCTAACCACAAAGCAATATCGATTGGTCGTTCTCTCAAACAACAAATCCTTGATCCCATCCTTGTCACAATTCAAATTCCCTCCAAGATTTCAAACAAACGTTTGCCTTCGAAAACATAATCATTGCCACAAACCCGAACAATTCCTTTCCTTAGAAAAGGACCTTTTTTACAAAATTCATCACTTTTGACTTTTATACTATCATCGCCACAGTCAAGAATCTACCTACAAAAGTTAGGAATGACAACAATTCCGTAATATTGTTTGGATAAAAGTTCACTGCATCTTATGACGGTGTCGATCCATAATGGGTTATGAATGGTCAAACAAGATAAAAAAAATATTGATGGGTGGTGAATTAATTTATAATCAACGTTGGGATTTCTTTTCTCAAGGTAAATGAAAGTTTTTTAATTATTACCATTTTTTTTTTTTTCCTCTAAAAAATTTTTCCTAAATTTCCTTTTTTTCGGTTAATAGTTTCCTCGTTAGAAATGGCATGATTCTTTTACAGCAAGGTTGAGAACATGTAAGGACAACATGAAAATTTCTATGTTGGTGACTTTGAGACCGAAAAATTGGGTCACTTATCTCACGTGACTTGGAGTTCAAGGATTTATTATTAATTAATTAGTTAATCTAGAACCAACCCATTTGCCGATTCGATCTCATACGCTTAATTGGGCCGCAAAACGTTTCTCAAATAGGGTAAATGTAACATTGCGAAGATCACTAGCCTCACTATTAAGGAATAAGGCAGGAATAAAGTTTGGTGACCCGATCTTACATTATTATGCTCCGTGTCCAAATACCTTACTATACTATTTGGATGTATTATTGCTGTTCCAGTCGCTCTACCAAACCAGATTTAATTTTTGGCTCAAACACTGGTGCAAATTTAGCGTTGTCGGATAGAGCTATATGAATTAAAATAGATTATACGTCGCAGGAAGTTTCATTAGGATAGGTAAAAAGGTTGACTGGCCTAAAGATTTAACTTTCGAATTAATCCCGTCTCATTTTCAGATACTTCAGATTTAGAGACGTAAAATATTTTCAATATGATTGTTTACAAGAAGAGGTTTCGCTTTTATTTATCACATCTATATATATATATATTTTTCATCTCTTGTATTTTTATCAAAAATATATTTTCTTTTTGATAATGAATAATTGTTTTCTTTATAATATTAAATTCAATGTATAATACAAAATTTTTTTTGAATAAATATAAATTTGCATTATTAGATCTAAACATTCCATCAAATTCACCAACCTTTCAAGAAATACCATTTCACGTGATCTTATGAATATTAGATGTATGTCAAAAGCTATAGCATAGATTGTCCCTTGTGCAAGATCAAATTACAATTATCTTAATACATACTTCTACTTCAATTCTGCAGCATTATATGAGGCAGCTAAGGTAATTTCTGACTTTACACTTAACGGCAAACGTTTAGTATGGACTGACTTCAAGCAGAAGTTACAGTTAAAGCTGATTATAACAAACCTCTTTATAACGAATGCTGGATATAACAAACTTACAATTTTTAAATTTTAATAATAGTTCATTATAAAAAGTGTATGGTTCATATAAAAAGCATAGTAATTTATATAACAAACTATTTTTTTTAATAGAACCATCAGTTCGTTATAAAGAGCGTTGACTGTATATGCAATTTACTGCTCATCAACATACCTTAAGAAATGACAAACCCTGAGGTATCGTAATATACAAAATTTATATTAGAGATTCCAACCGGCATAATTTAACAATTACACAGTGCCTAAAAATAACCTCAAGAAAGTGTAGCCTGTGACAACATCACCTTTAGGCTAGACTAACACTTTACATCCATTAAGCTCACAACCCTCACTGCAGTCATTACCTTTTTACAAGAAAGATTCAGTATTTTAAAAAAAGCTTTTGATATTAATGTTGTCACCTCTATGGAAGCTGAAGTGTACAACCAAAACCCTTTCTCCAGAAGCTTTACCTGCAGATGAAAAATCTTTACACATTGATGCCTCTAAAATTAATCACGATTTGTTACTAACAACAACAGTAAATCTCCTCTTTTACCACTGTTATCAGTAACCTTTCCAATACTTGTGCTAATTTTCAACAAATACTCATGCTGTCTCAGTAGATTCCTATACAAAATATCTAATGTTATAATGAGTACTGTTCCTATAGTAAACAATCCATTACTATATATTGATATCATTTTTCAACCAATCATTTTCACAATTCACTTCATTTTTCAGCACCAACCAGGAGAGTCAATCTAGCGGGATTAGTATCAGCCTCTCCTTCAGTTCTAAGCTTGCCAAAAACGTTTTCAAACACGAATCTAAATTCGATCACATTATTTATGCTAAATTACAATTTACTGACAAACAAAAGTTATTAGTTGTTAATGTTCATTTTTCTCAAACAAAAGAGGTTCAAAAGTCATATGCAAAGCTATACAAGTGTATATTATTACCCTTCTCTCTGAAGCTATTAGAGATGACTATCATATTATTTTATTAGGGGATTTTAACATTGTGCATCAAATTCACTTCATATGATCCATTTTATGAATTCTTTATCGAGATACAATTTATTTGATATTTTTAATGCATTTTTTCATTCAAACTTCATTTCACATATTGATTATATTTGATGACCCAAAATTAACATTAAACATTTTCAAATATCAAACTTTTCATATTGATCCTCAGTTTCTGACCATTTGATTGTCACTGCTTCAATGTCCAATTTTTTAAAGTCTCTACAAATGACAGACATTATTCCCAGAAAATTTCATTTGTTTATTCTCAAATGAAGCAGACAACATAGCCAAACACAGATTGCTCAGGACCTTAATAATACAACCGTCTGAATACAGTCTTCACTGAATCAATCCTAAAACTTACTTCATGATTCATTTATTGCTACTGCTTAAGCCTGCATATCTATAAGTAAAACCAGATCCTCTTATTATAAAAAACGCCTTATTGGTTTATTGTCCACTTACAAAAATATTAAACTTTACACAAATTAAACAAACTGACCAAAAAGTGCCTTGTAAACTGTATCTCGTCCTCTGAGTAGACAACTCTTTATAATAAGTTTATTAGTATCACTCATTCTAATAACTTAAATGTGGTGATACTAAATTCAAATCCTCACGTTGATATTATTAATTCTGACTTCTCAGATACTAAAATTTTATTAGTAGGTCTTTAAGTTGAAGCTAAACTCAAGAAATAAGAATTTAAAACAAAATGCATCTAAGAATCCTTTCAGTCCAGAACCACTACTTTGAAGAAGTTAACATTAAAGATGAAGTCAAAAGACACTTTCAACAAGTTGCAGGAACTATCCACTGGTAACAAAATTATTCCAGTGGATTAGATCACGACTTACTATCTTATTAATGACATTGACCCAGTCATATATAACCACCACCTTACTTCTTTACCATCAGATGATGAATGGTATAGAATTATAGACCATTTGCTAAATGATAAGGTTACCTTCAAAGATTTCCAATGAAATACTCAAATACCTTAGTCCCAAAGTAAGAAAATACCTATGGGTTGGTGTCTCCAAATCTCCTCTGTCTTAGCCAGATGGAACTTAGCTTATATTTATCTGAAAAGTCTTTGTCAAATATTATAAAAGTATTAATTTTTTAATTAATAATAAAATTGCCTACAGATTTGTAGGCATAACAGTTGAAGGGATAGATTAATATAAAGCAAAAATTTAAATTTTAGTGAAAAGGTTTGAGCCCTATTTTCTAGCAAACCTCTCATATGCAGAAATATTAATATATAGTATGTAAAAATGCTCTGTAAGAAATATGGAGGGCGGTTAATAGAAAAAGGGGAAATCTACAAAATTTGAGTAATTTTAGTTATTAAGCTAATTTGTTCACATGACCATGATCAACAGAGTGAACCAATAAAAAAATTTTTGACTAAAAAGTGGATTTCCTCCTTTTCTACTGACTGCCCTTATATATGCTAAAAAATATTCTTTATTAATTGAATTTTTACAGTAAATTTATATATTAGATTAAAAAATAAAAGAAAATATATGGGAGTGTTTCTAGAAAAATCAGGTTCTGAGAAATTTTTGACTAAAATTAAGAGCTTAATACATTTTAATCTAATTACATCAAAAACTAAAATGCAATAAAAATCTCAATTTTGCTAAAAAATTCCCAGAACCTGATTTTCCTAGCAATCTACCCATATAATTTTATTCATTAATATGCTAAATATATTGATTTGTCTAATAATTATATGTACATTCCTGATTAAAATTATGAAAATCATTAGGACTATTTGAATATATCATTAAATGTATATTTAATATATTATGATTCATTTGCTATCTTAGTTAATTTATAATGAGAAAATACACTGTTAAACATAATCATTAGAAAATGAATTATTAAAGATTATTGAATAATCTTTAGTAAAATGAAGTTTTTGTGATCCCATTCTTTACAAAATTAATGTTATAAATTGATTTCATTAAATTTTATAGAATTATTTTCACTCAGTATCTGAAAGATGTTTATTTCCAAAATATTGCAATATTACCTTACCTCTTTAAGAGATCAAAAATTCTTAGTGAATTATAAATTTAATTCAGAAATCTATTTTTAAGCCTTACAGCTGTTTTCATATTTGTGCATCCTCTTTATTTTTTTCAAAATTGGAAATTGCAATTTTTAGTATTTGAATAGTTGACTTCCCTTATATGAGCTGATGCTCATTTATTATTAATATACTATAAATAGTAATTATACTTGATTAAATACTAAATTCTTTTGCAAATTTAATTTTACGCGTTCTATTTCATTATTTTAATAAAATGAACATTGAAAATATAAAAACACTTCTATTAGTTATAAATCACGACTAAATTCTTGTATAGTATATGGTAAATGTGAAATATATTAGTGTTACAGTATGTATATTTTAAAGATCATAAATGTTTAAATGATTACCCCAGTACAAAAAATTTTATGACACAAAAATATTATCTAAACAAAGTAAATTCTATAGACCATTATGTACAGGAAAAAATAATGTGGCTGGTTATAGGAATTTTTCTAAATACTTTGAATACTGCATTTGTATTCATTATTAGCTGCAAATAAACAAATAAACAAATCACAAGATATTATATATAATTATTTACTTAATATAATACTTAAATTTTACTTTTATAGAACTAACCAAGAAATCGAAATTCAAGTTCTTAAAAATCAACAAACCATTAGTGACATTTTACAAATCATCAAAGATAAAATAATTTTGAAATACTTCATTATATTGATAGAATAACAGCTAGAGCTCCACATTTAGCTATCACTGATGAAAAAACTCTTAAAACTTACTTGTGTGTCAGGTTCAAAAAAGAAGAATCTAGTTCTTTGTTTAGAATTATTATCAGAAAAATGTAAGTATTTTTCCTTTTATAATTATTATATATTATTTAATAAATTCAATATTTAGGTAATGGAAAAGACAAAAAGAATAAATTAGTTAATTGTTATTAATTATTTATTAATTTTTTTTTTTTGAAAGCAAAAAAAAGTACAAATTGCTTCAGATTTTACATTAGATACAAAAAGAAAAAAAGAATTAAAAAATATATTAGATGAGGTTTATTGTAAAACTAAATGTAACATACGTCACAAAGAATATTGTTTAACAATATATGGTGATGATCCAGAAAAGCATGTATTTTTAACTGAATCAATGTTAAAAGTATGAGCATTATATATTATAAGTTTATAATAATAGTAATTAATTATATATTATAAATTAATATATTTTTAAATTCTATTTTCATTTATAGATAGATGACGAAAAACCAAATAGAAATATTTCTGAACAAAAAAAAAACAACTTTAGCAAAACCACCACTATTGCCAATATATTTACCATCAATTTCTAAAAAAGAAAACTTTAATTGATCAACAGTCTTCAAATTTTAAAGAAATTCTATATCTATCATCAACAAATCCTAATTATATAAATTCACTAAATATGCATAGTATAACATCACAATATTACAATACAACACAATATAATAATTCTATAATAAAACATTTCAATATAATAATCCTTATGATAATGTATATCAGCATTCTTATTTACCTACTATGGAATCACCATATCATTCAATTGCAGAATTTTTGAAAACTTTAGGTGAAAATTTTCTAGAATATGAAAATAAATTTATCAATCATAATATAGTGTTAAAGAATTACCATATTTAAATATGGAACAACTAAAAGATATTGGTATAATAAAATTAGGGCATTGTATAAGAATTTTAGTAGCATTAGAATTACCTATCATTTGAATACTTTATTTTTTATCATAATTATAATTCAATAAATAAAAAATATATATTAATATCCTACATTATGATAATAAGCTTTTGCTTTTTCTGGTTCAATTACACTAAATGCTATATTTAAAATATAAAAAGGATCTTGTTTTTTTTTTATCTATTCATTATATCTTCTAAGAAATAATTTAATATAAAATAAACATTGCTCAATCTATTAAATTTAAAATTAAATTAAAATTAAATAAATAAATAAATTAATCATTATTCCATATTCAACTAAAATTTTCTGAATTTTAAAAGTTTTATGAATTAAAGCATTATCCATAACTAAAATGCTTTTGGGTTCTGAAAAAGAATTCATAAATAATTAATTATTATTATTAAAATATATTTATTATATAATATTATGATAAAAAATAATAATTAAAGTTTTATAATACATACTAAATCCTGAGTTATAAAATCATAAAAATCATCACTTGATATTGCATCTTCTTTAATTTTATAAGCAATAATACCATTGCTTCCTAAGGCTGCTTCAAAAGTATAACGCTTACCTTGAATATAAATACAATTTTTTTCTGCCCTTTTATCAGATAATGAATAACCAAATATTCTATGTTGAGTTCTATCATCTTTAGCTGACTCATCAATAAATACTCATTCTTATTTGATATGATATACATTCATTTTCATTTCGTTCTTTGCTCATTTTGAAAACTATTAATAATTTACAATATTATTATTATTTTTAAAAATAAATAAATAAACAAAGCTTTATATTTACTTATTTGCGTGAATAATTTAATATTTTTAAGTATATCATATTATTGTTATACTAACTGAAAGTTTGTTAAGATCTTCAATTAAATGTTTTTTTTGATAGTTAGTTACTTTTGCTACCAATTCGTCAAGATAATAAACCTCAGTTAAAACTATAAAAAGAAATTATAGTAAAACTGATGCTTTGTCAAATTTAAAAAAAAGGTCTAAAAATAAATTACATAAAGAAGGTATTATTGTAAGTAAGTATATAGTAAATATTTTATTTAATTTATAAGTATAAACCTCTTTTTTAACACTGAACATTTTCTATAGAAATTATGCTATTTATTACTTAAAAAACCTGTTTCAGATATATGATATTCTATTGCTATTTCAGAAGTTTTTTTGCCTAACAAACTTTTCTTTATAACGAGTTTTTTCTATCTTTACTAATAGGTTTATTTTGAACTATTGCAATAAAAAATTTTTTTGAAATTATTTGTTTATTATCAAAAGATCAAAAATTGCAATCAGGTGGGCATACAAATATTGAAAACAGCTGTAATAATTGTTTCAGCAAAAAAAGGTAAATTATTAGACATATTATTTTTTTTCATAGACAACTACCTTGTATTGATAATATTTAATACATTAAGCTGCAGATCTTCATTAATATTTAATGATAAGCTTTAAATTTGCATTCATTTATATAATCCACTAAAATATCTATATAATTGTTTATAAGTAGATTTATCTTTTTTAAAATAAATTACTTCTTTTGTAGCGTCTTAACTAGCTAAGTGAAGTCTGTGAATAATACAATTTATAGAAATCATAAATAGAGTTTCCTTTTTTAATTATATTACTATACCATTAATTATATAATTTAATTAAATTTAATAAATTATTTTAAAACTTATTAATAGCTAACCTATTATAACAGAAGTACCATTACTTCCAATAATTATTTAAAAAACTTTTATTTGAGTTGTAATATTATTTACATTATGATCATCAAATTCTATCAATCTTAAATAACATAGTACAGGAACATTATTTGCTAAATGTTTTCTTTGCTAATAGTTGTAAATTTATTAATCAATTAATGCCTTTTCAATTACATATGTAATAGCTTCAAATTTTATGCATATCTTGGATTTTGATATAATCTATATTAGAAGTTTTAGAACAAAGATTTAGTGAAAGATGATTTTTGGTTAAAAAATAAATGCATTTAATTTGATTAATTATTTTTTTCTTTATTGCTAATTTGAGATATACTTTATAGTTAGTATATTAAGTTATCCTATTTTTCTAGCATTTCTAAGAGAACGTATTCTTGATTTAATATATTGATTAACTAAACCTTTGGTCATTTGATTTTTATATACAGCTTTTTCACATATAGTACAAAATATAAGAGTTTTTCTATTAATATTATAATATTCTTCTGTGCTGCATGTTATTATTCTTTTGAAATAGCTTTTAGCTTTTTAATTTTATGTTTTCTTTTATTTTTTAATGATTCACTAGAAGTTTTTTAAAAATCCATCCATATTAATTTTGAGAATTAGTAAAAAAATTCAACAGAATATATTAATTATACAAAATTGTATGACTATGTAAGATTTTTACATTTCTTTGTAAAATTTGTATAAATCTATATGGGTTGATTGCTAGGAAAATCAGGTTCTGGGAATTTTTTAGCAAAATTGAAATTTTTATTGCATTTTAGTTTTTGATGTTATTAGATTAAAATGTATTAAGCTCTTTATTTTAGTCAAAAATTTCTCAGAACCTGATTTTCCTAGAAACACTCCCATATATTTAAAAAAAAATTATATGTATGATTACATTGCTAAAATTATATACTAATATAAAAATTCACAAAATATATTTTACAATTATTATAATCAATTTCTATAAATATATTCCTTTAAGAAAGATATGATTTATTAGATTAAAAATATTATTCTTTATTATATATATAATATGTAATCTTTGTAATTTGGTTTCTCTGAAAAACTATAATAAAGAAAAATTATGATAATTATATATTATAATAAATATTCTATTTAATTGGAATATTATAAAAATCATCTTATTATGAAGATCATCAAAGGTGTTTATGTGAAGAATTTTTTAGGATGCTTATTCTCTTAGTATGCTTTAATGAACATTTTATTAATTTTTTTATTTTTTTATAAATATAAATATAAGATGATGCAAATTTTATTATAAATTTATTTACACAAAAATAATAGATTAGAGCATAATATAAATAGTAAAATGTACATTTAATACTAATTCGACCAAGTTAAAATATGCATTTAGAAAAGATGTATTTATAGGTGATTTATCAGATTTCTATTGATCCTTCTGAGACCTGTAAAGTTGTTTTCTTTAAGCATATTATGTTTGGCCAAAGTTTTGGATAAACGATTTGTGATAATTAAAATGAAAAATGTATCTTTAAAATATTACAATCCACATTTGTGCTATTTTTATTCTACTTTATTATAAATTCCTGAGAGGTCTTGCCATTTTGTCAAAAGTTAAGTTATTATCATTTATTAAAAGTCAATCAAGTGTAATTGATCTTTTTGTCAGGATTATTTTCATACAAAAGATAACATTGGTAAATATAATATTTGATTGATTATTTATTAATTTATTCTTTAATCTTTACAAAAGCTTTTGATGTAATAATAGTGTTTTAGTTAATAAGAGATCAATAGAAGTTAGATTTTTATTTTAATATATAAAGATTTGACTGTATTATGCAACCCTTATTTTGATAAGTAGTTATTATTTATCAGGTCTTTCTAATGATAAAGCAGCTGGTCTGGAATATTTAAAATATATTTCAAGATAGGTGATATCTTAGCAGACCTATTATTTAGGATTTATTATTCAATTACTATTTTTTTTATATTTGAACTAGTTGTTAACCTGTTGCTCTGCAACGGGAGTATATTGTTAATAAATCAGGTTTAGATCATGTGATTTAAAAATTAAAATTTCATGATATACAACATTTGAGGTATGATAATTTGGATCATTATCCATAAGAACTTTGATGTTATGGTATGAAGTACTTCTTTATAGGGCAACATAAAGTTGACATTGGATATAGGGATTGAATTCGTGTAGCATATATTGTAGATGCTGCAGAATATCTTCATTTAAATCATACGTGATGTTTTGTCTATTGGTAGTTTCATGAAGAGTATCATATATGTATAGTTGAGCAAATGTTGGTGATTGAGTTTGGCCATGAACTCAGAAATTAGAGATGCCCTGACTAAGGAACAACTGATCTACATTAGCGGCAAATAATGTGCATGATAAGGCGCTATTGTAGGCTCAGATATTCTTGCGAAATGAACTTGCATCAGCTTCTGCTGAAGTATACAAATGGAGCAGATATGGTGGTGGTTTAAGCAAAGGTGGTAAATGGATCTTGCCGGCAGCACAACACATTACAAAAGTTGGAGAAGTACGCGAGCTCTTTTGATCTCTTTCATTAAGCCAAAACTTAGCACCACAATGGATACATATATGATCCATTCCTCCCAGATCATGACGAATGATCATATTTGCATGATTAATTTTTTGTTTTTTTATAGCGATCTTGTTTCTCTCTACCAAACCTCTTTCGACGTTGTTCAGGAGTTTCGGTCAGTTCTTGTATAGAAGCAATATGAGTATTTAAGCATATAATGCAACTCTTATGAAGAATCATGAAAAGACACATGACATAATATAACATGATTTAAATGAGAGTTGAACATCATGTTCGATAAACACGTTTTAAGGGTATGCAAAAGAGCAATTGTTAACATGTTGCTTATTCTGTGATTTATTAAATGAACAATATTAAGGGTAAATCATCACAACTGTGTCACATAAATAGAATTTGAATATTTCTTTATTAATATTTTACAATTATCAATAAGCATACATAATAAGAATACAATAATCATAAGAATACAATATATAACATAGGATAAGAAAAAACATCATAAGAACATTTAGCGTATCATGATTTCAATTAATACGCTCTTTTGAGAGGAACAAAAACCTCCTTTATTTACATTTAAAGTTGCATTCTGGCAAAAAAGATACGCATCTCATCATCACAAATGATATAATATATACATTAAATCCATAAGTTTTCATCATTCCATCATTCCATAATAAATAAAATAATAAAATTTTCATCATTCAGAGATAAAGTTTAAAATATATTTTACATCGGGAAGCATAAATTCTAAATTCACATGATGACGATGATCAGCTAGTCACATCAGGACATGTAAAAGACTGATTATAAATGGAATGGTTATTTATACAGTCAATCTAAAGGTCAGCGATATGCAGGTATTTTTTATAATATAAGATTATATGAGAAAATAGGGCCAGAAAGCATCAGCTATGTTCTGAATGTGGAGTTAATATCACTTACATATTAGAGGTTATTATATGATCTAATTTGTAAATAGGCTCTGGAATAATGATCAGCTTAAAAATTAGTATGTATTGGTATACTAAAATCTTGATAGCATATGTATACACAGATAAGACTTTTTGACCTTATGATTTATTTATGGATTGCCTTTAACATTTTATGGGCTTGAAAGTTTATAAAAGATGATATCCAGTAGGGTAATTTCATGTCAAGTTTGATACCAATATATCATATAGCAGAAATTGAGCCTGGTCTAGTTTAGAATAAAGAATTAATATTTACATTCTATAGCAGGAATTAAGTCAAGGCTTTAATTGGAACCTTTTCTGAATTTTAACCCCAAAACCTCCCAATTTGTCCAACTATCTGGATGACCTCAGAGCTCACCTTAAATTTGATCAAAAGTGAAACTATTTGATCTATCTATATCAGATCATCATATCATTGCACCAATTTTTTAAAATCCTATATAATGG